GTCCAGGTGTGACTGGCAGTGTATTACTATATAATTAAACTTCTATAACGATATGCGTAAAGCACCTCTGCATTAAGACAATACTTACATTGCTCCTGGAGAAATTGCTAGCGAATTTAGTATGTGTGAGATTGAACAAATGACACACAAGCGAATAGCACCTTTAAATAAAAATGAAGAGTTAAGTGTAGATACATCAGAGCAAACAATTAATTAAACTGAAGCATTTAGCTGTTTCGTCTTGCTAGGACTCGTCCGTGATGCTAAGGGCCTAAATGTTGAAGCCAAGGAGGCGATTGAGAAAAATTCCAGAGTGATTGACAGAAAAGTCAAAATCTAGATGGGGAGGTGCACTAGCCCCATTACTGAATAAATGTTGTAATTTTCATATATCGGATTACTGGAGAACAGCCTCAAGTATATGCTGACACTTGTACAGATAATCAGTGTAGCACGTTTTGACAACACCAATCAGAACAAAACGATAAATAAATCTACATGTACATCGGAGATATATTGTTCGTATATATGGGTTGCATTGATTTACAGAACTCTGAAAACAATCCTCAGATCAGTCAATTTTCTTTGCAATATGTATTTGTCATCTTTCAAAAAGATTTTAGGTTATTGCGAGTAATGACAGGCAGAAATAACGATATTTGAGATCAATACATTTAAAAGGGTATTCACCCCCGTCCGGCGTTTGATCTATCCAATTCTGCCGCAGTCTGAAGAGCAAGAAAGATAATATCAGACTAACTGTCACTCAAAGCCTTGCTTTTGTTTATTTATCTTAGACGTTAAACCCCAAAATAAGATATATCACTGGTGGGTATAACTGTATTGAATTAAGATATATTGTCGGTAACTCTGACTTACATGTCTACGTACTCTTTGGTTATTATTTATACTTAGATGATTGCCTAATCTTCCATACAGACATAACTGCAATGAGTTTAGAAACTATATCCCTTAACGGAAAATATAACCATCTATAGACCAGACAGGAGAGATTTGATAGACAGCTAACTGGTTTAGCCTGGATATCCCCTGGCCAAAACACCAGACCGAGAACGAATTTAGTCAATAGGTGTCTGCTGGTGGTGTGGTGAGAGCAAGAGTGTAGTGGAATAAGTCACGCTTGTGATAGCTTGGTCTTTTGGCCAGAAAAAATATAAAACCGAAATATATTCTAGCAACCCGTCAAACTTTTGTCCCGTCGGCATTCTGTAATTTTGAAGTCAAGTTGGATTATTGAAAGTACGTCACTAAGAAATACCAAAGCAACGATGGTCGGGATTCAAACTCCGCTTAAATCTGCCTAAACAGTAACATACATCCACAAACTTCAAGCTAGTCCAAAATATAATCCACTTAGCTTTGATTACAAGGTTCCAAGTGAAACGTTCAATTGATGTAGAGGTTAAGTATTTTAAGTCAAATTGATAATATGATATAGACATAACTTGGAGTGAAAAAGAAATACCCTTTAGAAATATGTCTGATGACGTCTTTATAAAAACAAACGTATTTTCATCTACACATTCAGATAATGACGAGCTGTGAGTTTTCTGCATGGAAAGAAAAATCCTTTAAAAAGTACATAATTTACTTAACCTGTATGATAGCAGGCATCCTAATTTGTTGATTATCATCAACAATTTTGACAGTTTTATTCTGGAACCTGATGCAATAGTATGATTTCAATAATCATTACTTCCATGTCATTTTAACACTTTGCACGTGTCAAATACTAGATATTGTTTTAAGGGGAAAACATGCCATACAACCATGTTAATTACAAAAGGTAGCATATTTCTGTAACATCATGTAGATAGTATATAAAAGGTAGACAAGTAATGCCAAACCCTGTGATATAAAAAACAGTTGACAACGGGTTCGTTTAACTTACAAAAAATACTTTTACTATAAGAAAATTGATACTAATTATCTAAAATGAAATAAGGGTTTCTTTTACAACGGATATCACAAAGCAGGTCTAATCGCTAGTTGTATTGAGGTACACGTGCTAGTGCTAAATTATTTAAGTAACCGTGTTGTAGTTGTAAAACTGCTGATAAACCATAACATTTTAAAATCGAAATGAACACTATTAACAACATATAATGTATTTTAGACAACACTATTTTCAATTACAGACACAAAATAAACGACACTTCCATTTATTGCTGTGTTGACTTGACAGAAACAAAGAAACATACTTCAATATGAGAAGCTATTTTCTCAACATAAAATACACAGACACCATATTGTAATGGTAAATTTTACCTAGATCAACGACGGTTTTATACATTTAAAAACAACTTTGCTAGGTAATTCTCCCAATCTGCCAAGAGCCATTACTATCAAAATGCATTACTACAAGAAATCTTAAACACGTTTCACTTTGATCGCCGACTTGCTATCGTTGGGGAATATTCCTTTTCCTGGTGCGACACGAAGTTCTCATTTGAGGACGTAATTACATGCTTGCAGTAAACAAGAGATGGTGTCTTCTCACATTCCGGAACTTAAGGTGTCATCATCCAAGTACATTTCAAAGTTCATCGAATTAAAAACAAATCTAGAAAAAAACTAACATGGCAACATAATCAGAACTCAAACTCAGATTCCATAAAACTAGGGCACAATATTTACAAAAGAAAAAAATACAAGGAGATTTCATAGAAGAACAATGAGAATAAGTTCGATTTTATTTACAAAACGTTACTTTCTTGTTCTTTTAATGATGCTGCTTAAAAGACCAAACTAATGACCTCTGAGAGAAGCAATAATGAATATGCCATGATTTTAACATCTGGATCAAGTTTGTAAGGTTACAACTGTCTCATTTGAACAAAACACTGTTATATGTACCGTGATCAACTCATTAGTCTTTAAAAAGTCTTGTCCTTGTTGATAAGGATACATGGTTTCTTGAAGAATATTTTTTATCTTATTGATGATATACAAGTGCTGCTTAATACAAGGACTCTAAACATGTAGGATTATCAGAACCTATGAAGAATTTCAATGAATGAATTAATGTAGAGATGATCATGACATAAATCAATGTATTTAATTCGCTTATATCCAGATTTTTATCTCTATAAAACTTATTACAGATGAAACAATATGGGAATATTTTGGAACATTTTCGTCAGGTTGGTTGGAATAGACGTTCTTATAACACAATCAGTAGAAGATTAGAGTGTGACATTTCGATGACTTCACAGTCACCTTTATCAGACAAATGACAATTGTAGAGCGTGCTGGCATTGACGTACGTAGTGTACGAGATGGTACGGAATCGACCAACTTTTTCGCCTGCACTATAATCCTATATACACTAATGTCGAAAATAGTGTGACGAGATGATAAACAGATTATAGATAAAAAATACACCAGATGGTAACAATGCACTGTTGTAAATTCGGCTAAGCTTTGCTTAACACTAGGTCATAGATATGCGAGATAGACATGGGAATATTTTTCCATTTAGGTGAATAATAGTTTGTTAAATTGTTAGTATAAAAGAATCCGTTATAAATGCATTGCATATCATGACATACATGTAACAGCAAAGATACTTTACGCGCAAAAAGATTTTTTTGTAGTTAAATTATTTATTTTTTTAAAATTTACCAGTTAGCTGTATAATGTCACGATGTTCGTTGTGTTCAACAATATAATTTTCCACGCGAGCAAGAATTTTGTGATAAAATTGAGCTGTTAGCTGTTACTCCCGCGTCTAAACGTATGCAATTATTCAATCTTACTCATTAAGCTCTCAGTCAGGTGTTCGATCTGAAGATACAAATCGTAAGTGTAGAAACATGCTATATCATACCGCGTTAGATATTTTTTTCGTTATCAACTTCAATTTTGTTTTTAACTAACATTAAAACGTATAGAAATGGCATTTTAACAATCTACTACGACCTACTCATGATTGATATTATGCTATACAAAATGAAATATGATATCCCGAATTCAAAGTTTGCACATATCAACAAAAAAGTACAAGGAAGTAATAAGATCAGATGTTCCGGAAGGGTTCTTCTGCTTCATCGACAACACCCAACATGTAAATCTTGGTCAATAAAAAGAAGCTATGTCATACTTTCAGAAAATGGGATTAGGTAAACAATAACAGTACAATCAGACATAATAACATCTGATTCAATTCGTATCAAATACGGAAATAAATATGCTTCAATGAGATCATTGTGCGACCATAAATCACCCTTATGATAATTAACATACATCTCTCTACAAATAAACACGCATGAACAAAAGATTCAAATCGTTTACGATCTCAAAATGAAAGTTACAATTCGATAATTGAAGAATTAAACAGAAATCGTATTAAAGAGGTTATTAAATATACGTTACGCGAGTCATACGTCTTCATCCGGATCATTGGATATATATTTGTATCAACATTCATCTGATCCGAACGTATAGGAAATCCAAAGGTTGAAGAGAAATTCACAAATACTGTACGCATAAAGTATAACTCTCCACTACATGTTTTGTTGTGTTTTGTTTATTTTTAAGAGTCCTAAGAAATATGACATTAGCAAAATTGATAGTTTTTTTGTGTTTGCCTTACCCGGAGAAGTTGTTTTTGACCACTGGAAATATTTAATCGCTTGGTTTTGTTTATTTATTTATTTTGAAGTCTGATGTCTCAATCATCTTACGTAAATTTCAGTAATTATATATTTTTCCTAATATGGACATTTCTGCTAATCCATAGTCAATTATATTCAGACGTTCTTGCTCAGTCACGCAATTCACTGTTAACTTGAAGCAAAAAATGTTCATACATCTCGTGAAAGACGTGTCATTCCCTTAATGCTAATGCAGAATTAGGAATTGAACAATGTCGTGTTTAAAAGGTTTTAATAACGCTGCTCCTTTCGAAATGCGTATTTGTAAACACATGCTTGTCCTTAACCGCCTGTTATAAATACCTCTAACCCAAGAAAATAAAATCATTCAAAATGATCCATGTAGTACTGAATACCCGTGACCACTAACCATACAATGATTTCAAGCATGTTAAACGAAAACACTATCCAAAAAACGATCTTGTCCACAGCCCTGGAGACGTGCTGCCACGTTAGATCATCGTCTGTTGGTTCCCCTTGATTATCGTTATCTTTAAAGTCGCCGTTTGTCTGGTGGCCTTGAGTCGAAAAATGGTCATGGATGCTGACGTCACCGGACGGAGATAAGTCTTTCGTGCCGAACGCCGTTTCCTGTGTAAACATGGCGTCAGATATGCCGTTTCTATCCACTAGTGGAGTTGCACTGGCGTGATTTGTAGGCCATCTGTTCTTTCTGGATTTTTTCTTACGAAATCGGCATAATACACCGACTATTCTGCGGTATTTCTTAGGTATAGGTTGATTATCATCACGATGAAATATATGTACGACAAATACTGTCAGAATGGCTACCGCTGCACTCACACCAAATTTCACCATCAACAGGTAACTGAGAATGGGAACCGGATCGGAGTTGTCTGGAATTTCTGACGAAAGAATCGTCATGTAGACTGCAAATGACAATAATGAACTGACAGCAAATGATATACGTTCACCAGCCTGAGCTGGGATGAAGAACACACAGACGTTTAAGATGCTGAGAACGACGACAGGAGCGATGATAGTGATGAGAAAAAACATCGGTTTTCTTTCGAGAGTAAGAGGAAAGGCAACATACACGAAGGACGTATCACCAAAGCTTGACACATAAGGACGATGTTGAGTAATTTTCCATTTTGCATTTTCCTCTACAATATCCATGGCCTTACTTTCCTCCAAGTACGTGAGGTCAAGCACGTGTAAGGAATGAAATAGTTCTAAAAGAGTAAACACAATTTCACACCTATGACTATCGAACGGAAAAAATCGTACATTTGGTGTACAGGAAGTTGCAAGGACACCGCCCGTGAACAGTTGTATAACACCATTGTGTTTTAGGCGTATAATCTCCGTGTTAGATTTGGAGTGCAACAACATAAACTCTTGCACAGGGTTGGCTATGATAACGTTCGGAATCCAAACATCATTTATAGAGAATGTAACTGATCGCACAGGATAGTGGTCATAATCCCACTTTAGACGTTCATCTCTCCAGACAATTCCTAAGACACCAGTGGTCTGGAGATGACCGGACACTTCATTAAAGTCATTCACTGATCGAAGAAAGTATTTAATTCGGATAGTATTTTTACTGTCCTTACGCTCGCCTGGTATGATAGATTTACTATAATTTGCCAGTAGTTTCTTCTGTAAATTAAACAGCAGGTTATCTTTGCTATCTTGAAATCCGTCGGAGAAATAAACAAAGAAGCAGAGGTGACATAAAATCTGCCTTATAGACATCATTTCGACGAATCCATGCATCCTACTATAACACAATCAAAAAACAGTTATGCCTTTGACTGGATTCTCTATCCTATAAATTGTTTAAAAAATCAGTTTTTACTTTCATTTACAATATACTCGTTCCCGTAGTCACTGTGAAAAAAGGGAATACTCACATTTTTTCCATGTCTGTGTTTATCTGAATATTCTTAGTCTTAATAATCCAAAGGGTTTGCAAAAGTGCGATATTTCTGTTAATCCCACGCACAACTCAGCGATATTGATGCATTCGCATTATTCTGGCTTCTACTACACGACAACTTTGATCAAATTTTCTTACTCTTTGATGTATCTAAAAGTCACACATAGTGTTCAAAGTCCTTATATATAATCAGCGTAGTACAAAAGCCGATGATTTAAAAACCAGCCAACGCACAGAGCTTGTTACAAGAAAAAAGGTTTCCTTGTCCTTAGTTCTAATGTATCACTCAACAATGTGTGTTCCGTCATACTTTACGCGACAGTTACAGAGTAAACACAGCCGTATTTATGTCGGGTTTACCCAGAATGGCTCTAAACACGAATAGAAGTCGCCGTCAGGAGTTAATCTGATGGCCACGTTTGGTATATAAACAACGTCACCGTTGACCATCATTGACGCAAATGTAACGAGTGTTTATTTCCTATATACGTTTCCAAATTCAATCAAGGCTGTGATTTTTCGGTTATTATATGACTGTCACGTTGTCTACTCGCACGTCAATTTCCGTACACGTGCTTGCGTGAGGCAGAGGCACATCTAAAACACAAAGTGGCTGTTGTCTGATTATGTTGTATACTGGAACTATGTAACCAGTGGTACCTTCAATGCTTGATTCCTGTAACCGGAAATCTTCCTATCATTGCATACATTGATATAAAATGTATCAAATATGCATGTTGAGTTTCCCGTATAAGGCATAGATTGGTTTCCGATGATTGGTCAATATTGCAGTCCTAAAGTATAGTTCACGCCCACGTGCGCAATTCTGCATCTTCTATAAATTGTATGGCTGTAACTCGTTAGAAATTATCAATCAAAATTATAATATGCAGAAATAGCAGAGATATTGCGTTGGATATGCTGTAAAATTTACTGCCTGTTCACATTTTGACTTGACCTGCGTTCACAGCGTTCCCGGTCCTTTCATGAATTAGGCTATTACAGACACTCCTGTCCGCTAATTAACAGCCACAATAAACATGTTCATTATCACATTGCTTTCATCACTATTGCTAAATCACCACAAAGTACAGCATACGGGAGATACTTTACTTTCCCTTGCAAACAATTCGTGGTGTTAGAATAAGACATCTTAGGTAATTGAACCTTTTCTAACGTAATGTAATTCCACTTTCTATCTTTTTCTCCAATCTACCTTGTATAATATACTTTGTCACTATGCAAGAACCATTACAAAACCCTATTACCCAAAGCCTATATATAACCGGCCCGTGATTTACGGGGTCATCCATACATTCTTTATAATATTACCTTTTAGATGTGTTCGTTTTATCCCATCCTTGTAAATTGGAAAGTTCCTTATCCATTTACTCCAGAGATACCGGTGTCACACAATGATACAAACATGTCATTTGATTCGTAAAATATCCGGTTATTTCATGAATGATCTGCACACTCTTAAATGAATCATAGTGTAATATTCCAAATATTGACACTTCGCTGGTAATTATTTCAAACATTTGCGCCGCAAAGCTGTACCATTTGTAAGCTGATAGCACAAAAACTCCACATCCGAATGATCATCATGGACACATTCTCTTAACACTTACGTCGGCTGGTGCTATTGACCAATGTTATCGTCTCCTTTACAATATCATAGAGAAGGCATATTAAGTATTTTCAGGGGGAACGTAATGTTTCCATATATAGTCTGTGTAAACCCTGCTTCACTAAATCATTTAATACAACCTGGATAACTCGCCATTCAACTTCTTACATAGCCTGTCCATTGGTGTTCTCCCACGGAAAGCAATTTCCATTTTAAGACTCAGCACCGACCTGATTTCCTTTCTATTTTGTAATATAGTCTGCTAAGTTCCAGTGCGATCAAAGGCCAACAGCAGAACTAGCAATAAATCGTAATATCATCACCAACACATTGGCTGCTCATTAAAACTTGTACGTACAGAACAGCACCAGAAATCTCTAAAATGGACAATCTCTATAAAATCGCTTTCATCGTCTTTGCAAGATATCTCCAAACCTATTACCAAGAATTATCAAAATCGTCTATCTCTGTAAAGAATCAATAATATCTATCATATTGAAATTGTATTCATCCTTCCACTGATATAGCGGCAGGATATACGGTAACTTATCAGTAATGGCTCAAGTCTGTCGTGACAAAAAGAAATACATAGAAATCGTTTAATGCAGCAAAAGTGTCGGCCTGTTGTTGAGAAATGTATGTGTAAGAAATGTAATTATACGTAACCTCTAAAACATTTTATAGCGTGACAATTCACATACATTCTCAATATATAGGAACTCTCATTATAATCTAAATGGGCGATTTTTTCAATTACAAATTCTTTAATATTGCTGAAACATGGAAGGTATTTTATTGATATAGCAATACCCTGTTTTAATAACAGGTAACGCCTACTATTATACCTGGATCAGTTACTTATGTCACCAAATAGTCTGGTTTATTGATTAATAAAGGATATTTAATAGTGTCTTCAGTAATACAAAATTTATTTCACGTTTGTCTTTCACATGTGCACAATTTCACTGGCAAATATCAAATAATTCGTTATTGTAGATATGATAACTATGCTTTCATAACTATATAAATTCATACATATGAATTAGAATCGTTAATACAACACAAGATAGTACATAAGCAATCCAAATTCATATAGTATATATTATTACAAGTTACAAGGACATAGATCAATGCATCCAGAAGTCCTGACGAGGTTTTAAAAATAGCAAAAGTCTCATAAGAGATTCCCATATTGCTTTCAGTCCAATATGTCCTGTGTAAAATGTTGATTTCAAAGGGAGACTTATGGAAGAAATGTGGGGATTCCTTCCGGCGTGAGATCGCGTAAAACTAAAACACCAATCAAAATATGTTACACTATGTTTTGTATAGGGAAACGACCGACCTATTCAGAGTTTAAAGAACTTTCCTTTCAAAATGAGAAGTGTACTGCGTTGGCACAACATGACACAGAGTAACAGACGTATGCACTAAGAACATGCGTCCCTGAAGTACTGATATATTGAGGATGAAAAAGGGTTTTAGTTTATCGTTGACTTCTAAGCCTATTTTCGACGTATCTCTCCTTTTGCAGTTCATCATAGGCTTTGAAGCCAATGATCAGGATATCTATTTATCCCGTAATATCTTTAGGTATAATTCTGCTATGGCCGTACTACTGATAAACGGACAGTAGTCACACACAAATTAGGATATATGTATGCTTGGTTTATTAGATTATAGAAAATAGTCCACTTATGTATTGCAAAGCTCGAGAAATGTCCATCTCTAAAAATAGTTTAAAGACATAATCTACAGATTCTGTGCCACAGCGCAAACTGGAGTCATAAATACGGCTATATGTCTCTCAATTCCGGAAACTCTTGACTATGGAATCAATATTAGTTACCTTATGGCTTTTAACACTAAAAGATTATATCTAAGTGGTTCTTGTGTTCTTTAACTGTATTTACATTTTACCATTGTTGGCTGATTGTTAAAGCAGTGTTGAGATCCTCTACTTTTCTAACATATCGGTGCTAAGGGAATTACGTCCGTTTCACTCCTGCAGTTTTAGACACCACGCTGTGTATGAGCCATATACGCAGGCACGACGTTGGGCATAAAATGGGGTTCGTAGGATAATTCAATAGTTTGGCTATATTCAGTTTAATTTTCAATATGACGTACGAGCACTTACACCCAAAATGTATAAATAAAAGCGTGCCGTGAGATCATCGCACGCGTGTTTTTGTAGAGTGCGTGCCCTAGTGAGGCAAATGTTGAATTTGTTTAAAGAGAAATGTGTGGTACATCTTTACTGAACGAAATATTGAACAAATTCGTTCTAACGAGATTTAATCTTCATACAATTTTCATAAGGATATTATATATGCCAAAGAAGAATATCAAGAAACAATTTTGTTACGTGTGAAAGGTCAGAGTTTAAAATAATAATCTGAACCGATGTCACTATTGATTAGAATGTAGATGTTAAGCAAAGGGCTACTGCAAAACATGTGGCTACTGCAAAAGCTTTCTCTAATAGCTTTAGGCATTACATTATAAATATCGTTCTCAAATTGGAAAGGTATCGTTTTGTGGTAGTTTTGACGTCTTTGATGAATACTTGAGTTCCTTTGAAAGGCGATATACCGATGTACATAAGTGTCTAAGATAGTGACAATTTTAGTATCTAATTACACTATTCAATTTACCGCGTTTACCACTTGAAAACTCTTTAAACCTCGAATGATTTGTTCGCAAATTGAAAAATTCAAGTAGACATTTACATGGGGACTTGTCAGCGAATTGTAAATACAACTTAACATGATCGTAGGGTGGTGTAATGACCTCATTGGCCATTGGAGTCTTCCTCAGTAACTCCAGTTTCCTTCCGCTGCAGAGTATTGTGCTTTGATTCATATCCACATAATTAATGAAAGCTTTAAACTCGTTAACTAACTTTTACCAAGTACAATAAATTTACTTATTTGTATTTCGCACGTTGGTTATGAAACTCGTCCATGTTTTATAATTTAATTTTCGCTTGCAAAGGCTTGCACAAATTAAACTTCAATCTCGTTTGAGATACTTTATTTATCATACGATTGCTTTGTGATTCAGTAAATATACCCATTTGACATTACTGCGTATTACACATGTATAACAAATTATTATCTTACGTCATGTTTAGGTAATTGAAATGACGTCTCAAGAAGATTACGTTGTGACGTAATTTATGAGATC